GTCCTCTTCACTTTCAGAAAGCAAGGTTGTATCATCTGCATATCACAGGTTGTTAATGAGTCTTCCTCCAATCCTGATGCCACGTTTTTCTTCATAGAACCCAGCTTCTTGGATTATTTTCTCAGCATACAGGTTGAATAAGTATGGTGAAAGAATACAACCTTGTCGCACACCTTTCTTAATTTTAAACCATTCAGTGTTCCCATGTTCTGTTCGAACAACTGCGTCATGATCCAGGTACAGATTCCTCATGAACACAATTACATGTTCCGAAATACTCATACTTTGCAATGTTGTCCATAGTTTGTCTTGATCCACACAATCGAAAGCCTTTGTGTAGTATATAAAGCATATCAAAGTCAATAAAGAATTTCATTCTGATATTTTCTGCTTTTAGCAAAGATCCATCGAACATCAGCAATGATATCCCTCATTCCACAGCCTCTTCTGAATCTAGCTTAATGGTAGCTTTTGATAAACAGAAGTTTGTGGTTTTAATACAGCCAATTTGATCAGTGTATTAACGATTAGCTTGTAAAGACCCTGTACAGGGTCGCTATGGGTCGGAACCGACTCAATGGCACTTAACAACAACAACAACAGTACTGCAATCAAGGTCAACTTTAGGTATTATCGCATCTGTAATGTATGTATCTGAATCACATTATCTTTGGAAAATAACAATGTATATCAGAAAACAAATATAAGCCATGACTCACTGCCATAAATATGCTAGTGGGTCACCACCGCTACAAAGGGAAAACCACCCTTGTACCCAAATCAAGGCAGATTAAGTGGTATTAAAATTGCAGGTGCCCCGCTTGCTTACTCTTTCGTTTCCTGACCAATCCAGAAAGACTGAAAATCATTTGCATCCAGATTTGCTTTAGCAGTTATGGATTGATCTGACTAGTGAACTGTCCCAAGTAAGAGGCTGATTCGGATCCAAATGAGTTTTCTTTTTGTTTATTTTAACTAGCAATGCTCAATCACCATGATTTCATTCTATCCGTTTTAAAAGGCTAAATGTAGTAGCTATTAAGGACTTTTCTTAGAAGCAAGGATGGTGAAACTTGTGTACTTTGGATGTGTTATCAGGAGGTAACAATCCCTGAAAAAGGTCATCATGCTTTGTAAAGTAGAGGGTCAGCAAAAAAGAGGAAGACCCTCAATGAGATGGATTGACCCAGTGGCTGGCAACAGTGGGCTCAAACACAGGAATGACTGTGAGGAGGGCACAGGACCAGGCAGTGTTTCGTTCTGTTACGCACAGGGTCAATACGAGTCCGAACCAACTCGACGCCGCCTAACAACAACATTGCTGTTGTTGTTGTTGTT